GTCATCATATATTAAAAACATACCATCATATATTGAAGCAATGTCGCCATATATTGGTCAAACGTCACCATATATAAACGTTTTGTCATCATATATTAAAAACACACCATCATATATAGAAGCAATGTCGCCATATATTGGTCAAACGACACCATATATAAACGTATTTTCATCATATATTAAAAGCAACTCGTTATATAATGCAGCAATGTCGCCATATACTTAGTGACAACCACATAAGACAGTGACGGCGTTCCATAGTACTCATTGTCATGAATATATACGACATGAGAATTATGTATTCTAAAATGCCGTGCCACGTAATATGGGAATGACCTCTTATTGGTTATTGTCATTAAAATAATCTTATTTGACAACATGTGCAAGAAATATTTGTAATAATTTTTTGCTAAACACAGATGATATTTTGCGTGTATTGTGTTTGAACTATGTTGATACCAAACGCTTCAGCGTGGTATTAAGAGTTTGTTTTCAGGGGTAGGTGATACCAAGGTGGAAAATGGTTGCACATATGGGTATAATTTCTGGAATTACAATAGAGGGGTTCATGCCGAAATACAATATATAGTGTTTTCGCGTTTTGTCTGATATTTCTGTGAGATTCTACTGCTGTAACTAATGCAAGATTTGTTCTGAAATTCAGTGTATTGTGTGCACTCCAGGGTTATTCGTTTTTTTGCTGAAAACACTTCTATTTTTTAATGGCAGAGTCGAACTAGTTTCATTCCCACTGGGAAATCTGCTTTGTAGCTTGAATGAGAACTAATTATACACATTTTCCAGATCGTAACCGAAGTATATAACAGCCTATCACGCGATTTTATTCAGAATGTCAACATAGAAAGAGGCTATCCTATTTTACGCAAGAATAATTGGGAGTAGAATATGTGAGGGATTGTATCAACAGAGTTGATTATACTCAAAAGTAATATATATCCTTCTTTTGCATCGCTGAGCATTTCCGTTTTAGTATACTGGTTTGAAAATGTTGAATTTGCATGATTTGCTATGTGTGTTTTTTTTTTAAACTGAAACGCCCCTAATGGTTGAATCACGGGTTTTGAAGGAGAATGTAACAGCTCACCGTGTGATTTGTTTGAATACAATAGTGAAGGACTGGCATGATAGGGCACCGTCTGATCTTGGAATGACTTTCGTCGACAGCGGTTGTCGCTGAGCTGCACGCTACAACTTTGCCTGTGGTGTTGCTTGCTAGCCATGGATCGAATGAATCTTGATTGCCGGTTAAAATTTTGCTCATTTGGCGATGGTAATCTTCATTTGGAACTGGGTGGAACGACTGTTGCAATGGTGGGACATGAACGTGAAGCTAACGTCGATTTGTATAACTAAAACCGGGCACCGTAAACGAAGTTCGCAAAAAAAAAAAAAAAAAAAAAAAAAAAAACTTCAGTCCTTAGAAGTCACTTGTATTGCTAGGACGTATTCTGTTGTTATTATTTCCAACCGTTTTGCGATAGTATTTTCTAGACTGGAGGCAGCATTTACATTCTATTCAAAGTTCAAAGTTGTGTTGGGATTTATACAGTGTAACAATATCTCTTACCAGTGCGCAAGGTAGCCACAATAAAAAGCATGATCATTTGAACACTGCTATTACAACACTGGTATGAGGTAATACATTTGGGGCGAAAGTATTAAAAAAAAAAACAGTTTTTGGCTGTTGCCATGGTAGCGGTGGGCCAGGATTGTCTTTCCAATTAGTGACGGTACGACCTGCCTGTCAAGTATGAACAAAATCTGCCAAGCCAAAACAAATCACAGAGCAGTTAAAAGCCATTGCTTGTGAAAACTTTGGGGTCAATTTTCTCGGTAATGAAAATAGACATAAAAAAACAGAAAATGTTTTGCCCACACTCAGCTGAGTAGAATGAGCTACGTCCGTGCTTTTTAATCATAGAAATGTAGGGTGTGATACATAATTATTGTAGAGACAAATGTCAATAATGCGATGTATACCGGTCGAAGCGTTTACCTGGGTTGCGCACTCGTTGTCAATGGAAACTGGGCTGTCGACCTTTCCGGTGACTTGCGTGCGCGTCGAAGACGCGGGAGAAGTAAACAGTGATTCGATGTTGACTTCTGGTGCAGTAGCAAGGTGATTGACTGTAACGGAATGTTTATCAACAAATAAATCACAGGCGGGCCAATTCTCGATACTTGATAACCATGACGGGCCTTCATTCCATAGCGCAGAATTTCGTAAGGCGATAGGCGTAATTCCTCTCGTAAGCAGATCGGCGGGGTTGTCACTCGTTGGGATGTAGCGATACTGCTGGGTGAATGCGTTGATTTCTTTGGTGCGATTACGTGTAAAGACGTCTGGGTTTCCACTGCCATTAATCCAATGTGAATCACTCCACAGGAAATGATTATCTTAAATTTTGTAGATAGTTCAATACCAACGAATTTATTCAAACATGTGGCAACCACTGCGCCCATCTACTCTAAGCGGGGTAATGTCAAAGTTTGTCGTTTTACCGGGGCGACACGTGTTCTGGAAATGACAAACGAAGTGCGATAGTTCGATCGAGCGTAAATCACAGCACCGTAGACTTACTTGACGCATCGGAGAAGGCGTGGATTACCGGAGCGGCAATATCGGGGAAATATTTACACGGAATGCAAATGTTTGTAGCTTCTTGTAGATCGAGGGCGATTTCGGACCAACTGCGCTGGAGCTCTTCGGATAGCGGAGCGTCCCAGTGTCGATCTTCCTCCCACAATCATTGTATAAACAATTTGGCTCGAATGTGAACGGGTGATAAAGTACCGAGTGGGTCATATAGGGCCGCGACGTAGCTAACAACATTGCGTTTTGTTAGCATGAGTCCAATATCTCAGTATCTGGTTCTTTGAGCGGTTTGACCTGTAGAATGTCACTTTCCAAATTCCAT